AAAAATCCCTGCTTGTCCACCATGTCCAAGTATATTCATCCCGGCAGGAATTGGAGCAGGAGAAGATTCATTCCTGAGAGCCTTCATTAGTGACGATACAGGTACAGAGTTGGGAGAAAATGTAGGAAATGAAGCTGAGAAGATGAGCAGGTGCCAGATCATGAAAAGACTTCAAGCGATACTGTGTATTTTCAGCTTTACCTGTGATCAAAGAAGCAGCAGTAAATTGTTCTAAGTAGGGGAGCAATATGATAACTTTTGAATTTGAGTATCATTAAGAGGATTTCTGGCACAGAAGAATAATAGAAATCAAGCAGTGATCAATCTGGATTTGTAATAATCCAGGTGAAAGATTATAAGAATCCAAACTAAGGGCCCATCAGTAGGATTAAGAGAAAGAAAGACATTTCATAATTATTTAGAAGGTTAGATCATCGAGATATCAGGCCTAGTTAGGGAGCGAAGGGAGAGGGAGCAGAGATGGCTAAATCCAAGATTTTTGTCATGTGAATGGAAAGCCAAGTCTCAATTTCTGAGTTAAAAATCCTAAAAACACTTGACCTCACGTGATACAGTTTTCTATGTGATATTATAGGCTTCATTTTAAGATAATGGTAAAGATTAATATGGACTGGAAAACACCCTGAGGCCTCAAGTAGACAAACCTTTCATGTAGCAATGAATCTTGAGCCCAAATTATGGATCTACTACATAGATCTTCATTTCACTAGATACAAACTTCAGTCTTCTAGACATAACAAATGATACTGAGAGGGACCAGGCAGAATAGGTGGGAAAGGCATGTGAAACAGAGACTTGGGTACAGGACAAAGGTCTGTAGTGCAGATAAGAGCCTGTGATTGTGGCTCATGTCAGGCAACCACGCAAAGGAAGCAGACCTCTGGGGACTGTGGGGCTACTGCTAACGAATACCACCCTAGCCAGGTCATGAAAGGCCACGCCTTGGAGTTGATCCCTGTGAAGCTGTTACAATTTTCAATTGCGAACAGGTCAACATTAGTTCATTTCCCATCTTGGTCATTCTGGATGGCTCAAAGTTCTTTTGTCAGATTCTACTAACTGGAAGCAGAAAAGTCCATAAAAGAAAATACAAGATGAGGGATCAGAAATGAGCTTTGGAGAGAAGGGAAGTATCAATCCAACAAATGCAGCTTGCAGTTAGAAGCAACAAGAAGTTACTGGAGGCTTTTGAGTGGCACCACAATGAGATGAAAGCAAATGTTTGGAGAATAATATGAGAGCCCTGTACAAAACACATTGACTTGGCTGAAATCCTCAAGTAGTAAAGTATTGCTGTCATTCTAATTAGACCTTTCACTTCAACACATCCTTGCATCTTTAAACTCTGCCCCCTCTAAACCTTTAGTAATATTGCTTGCTAAGGGCTCTTAGCTCTCATTTCAGTGATTTTTTTTCCAACCACAGGAGGCACTGAATTTGGAAATTAGTCAGCATTTGTCACTGGGGTCATTGCTAGTTTCACAATTTGGAGGAAATGGAGCTCTGGCATGGAGTTCCACAAGCATCTATGGTGCCAAATATTCTGAACACAGTGAAGAGTCCTGTACAATTAAGACTCATTCTGCCCAAAATGCCACCAGTATCCCTCTCTAGAAACAGAGAATCCAACCTGCTTTGCTTCTCCTCTTTGTCTCCTACAAATTTTCTCCTTCTATTTATCACCAGGCATTCTGCCAGATGCCTGATTAGCAGGTTAAATGGTCACTCAACTGTCATCAAACTCCTTCTCTCTTTCAGAAGCAACTGGGAGAACGCCAAGGTCCATTATTGACCTAGTTTCATAGCACTTAGGACTTCCACAGCAGTTGGCAATGCTTTCTATTAGCTGATTCTCCTGTCAACACATCAGTTGAGTTACTGTTGTTATTAGCAGTGAGCAAGTGAAAAGACTCGGAAGATGTGGAAAACAGTTCGTTCGTGTCTCTTACATTCAGCTCACAGAGATTTGAAGAAGCTGTTTTAGAAGTAGTAAGTCTTTCAGATCTCTGTGAGATTCATTTAGGGTGCCACTTGTAATATAAACCCCCCTTTCCTTTGAGAATTTAAATACTTTGATGGCCTAGTTATGAAAAGTGATGTCCATCTCCATTAGCCTTCAATGTGTATTAAAGCTATATTCGTATTTTTAAGCACCTTGCATAACTGATTATTTTAGATCAAACTTTTTAAAGATCTGGGTGTGTGCGTGTGTAAATGTGCGTGCTTGTATACGTGCACACCCTATGAACAGAGGTTCCTACGGAAGCCACAACAGGGAGATCTCCATGGAGCTAGAATCACAGGCAATTGTGAGGCACCCAACATGGAAACTGGTCCTCTATAAGAGCAGCAAGTGTTCTTAACTGCTGAGTCATCTCTCCAGCACTGTTTTAACGCAGTCTCATAGTCCATTTGTTTTTTTGTTTTGTTTTGTTTTGTTTTTGTTTTTGTTTTTTGTTTTTTTTTTGTTTTGTTTTATGTTTGTTAGCTTTTACTACTGGGCCTCTTTGGTGGAATATCATATATTACTAATAGACTGGAAATGTTTTAAAGAAATCAGCTTTGTTCTCTGTATTACTCCAATTACTATGAAGGCATCTGGCCCATGACAACTACTTAGCAAATATTTACTGACAGATGGTGACCAGATTGGGGGGAGGGGCAGTTCTATGAAATACAAGGTAGTACCTACTAGAATCTGTCATCTTCATCCAAAGCTTACTCTTTGAAAGACATATTGTCTTATTTGGGGGTACTATTGCTGTGATGAAACACCATGACCAGAAGCAACTTGGGGAGGGTGGGGCTTATTTCATGAACAGTTCCATATAACAGTTCATCATCAAAAGTAGAAACTTGGAAGCAGGACCTGATAAGGAGACCATAGAGGGGTGCTGCTTACTGGCTTGGTCCACATGGCTTGCTTAGCCTGCTTTCCTAGAGAACCCGGAACCACCAGCCCAGGGCTGGGCCCACCAACAATGGGCTAGATCCTCCCCATTGACCACTAATGAGAAAAATGATTTACAGCTGGATCTCACAGAAGTAATTCCTCAACCGAGCCTCCTTCCTCTCTAATTTGTGTCAGGTTGACACAAAACCTGCCAGTACAATAACTCACTTTGACCAGCAAAGTAGGTCAGATGTGGCCATGTCCAGTTCGAGGACTAGGCCTCATAGGAACTGGAGTGAGGCTGTTGTTGTTGTTGTTAGATTAAGTTTTGGTTGACTGATCGGGTGGGTGGGTGAGTGGGTGGCTGAACAGTTGGCTGGTTGGTTGATATGGGGTCTCACTTTGGAGCCCCAGATGGCCTGGAACTCACTAAGTAGTCCAGGCTGCCTCAAACTTGTGATGCTCCTGTCCCTCCTATCAGTGCTGGGATTAAAGGCATGTGCCATCATTTCTCATAAAACTCAGTGCTTTCATGAATTCTTATGGAAACTTTTTCAGGCAAGAAACTGGAAAAAAAAAAAAAAAAAAAAAGAGAATTCACTACTCAATGATGAAATTCACCTGGCCTTGTCTGTCTTTCCAATTTAGAAAGCAATAATCACCTGTCAAATATTTATGAGGGAGGCATTCTTGACCAACCAATGTCTAATAGACCTGATGGCTGATGACAGACATACACTTTAGTATTCCCAAGATCAAGCAAGCCTACTCCAGGTGAGCATAGCAACCAACCACCCATATCTCATGGTCTGGGTTTAGAGATGGTTTGTCACTCATCATAATTTAGACAATAAAAGCCTAAGTTTAAAGGAATCTTTTTAACTATTCTCAAACTTAACAGAAAACTATCTTAATTTAAAATCTTCAGATAATGTCAAACAGCCTGCAACTTTTTTTCAATACATTTATTCAGAATCATCAAAGAATAAGCTAAAGCATGTGAAAAACTTTTCAGATAATTGATAGTTTCCTCTGAAATTATAAAATCTCTTATTTAATGTAACTATTTGTATGGTAATCTTTCTAAACCTTTTTCTAAACTCCATTATGCAAATATCTATGCTACCTACATTAGCATAATACTTGAATGCTGTACTTAGCATTTCCTTAATGGTGTTATTAATAAATACACTATCCAAAGTATTACTCCTCTGGGAGTACTGAAATACATTGAACAACTGTCTCAATGTTAGATGTTCCTACACCATTTTGCTTTCTGCATGGAAAAGCACACATACATTGCTGTGACCCCTTTTTCTTCCTTTAAGACATATCTACCATTTCTTACTACTGGGGCATAAGCTTATCACCACATGATTTTTTTTTCTCTTTCAATCTACTATAGCTACAAAACCATATAACCATAAAAACATACTTATTATTTTAAATTATACCAAATTAAAGAAACTCTAAGTGACTCTAACACAGAATATCCTACCTGAGGCAACACATACATAAAAAAGTAACAAAGACTTATTTTTCTCTCCTAGAAACATGTAAGCAGCTGAGAGAGATAACAGCCTCTAGAGTAAATAAGCTTTAGATAAAAATAACAAGATATAAAAATTATGAAATAAAATAAACTGAATTGACCAATGACATTCAGACTTAATAGGCTACATATATATCGCTATAGTTATACTATAAATTGTATTTATGTGTCTATATATTATATACATATTTCACAGTTATTTACCTAAGTGATATGGAAAATAAACACTGATATCAATCACTGGAATCTACATCACTAGAAAATTCAAAGAAGAGGAAAAATTATCAAAGAAGTAAGGTATTTGTAAAATGATGACTACAGTTTTCTAAGAATTAAAGATATATGTCCTTAACTTAAATGCCTTATATACTATCAAGGAAAAAAAAAGATTAAAAAGATACATAAATTCATTACAGTAAAACTATGTGATCACAAAGTCAAAGAGAAAACTTAAAAATCTTTCAGAAGGAACAAAAAGGAAACAACAAACAAAGAAAAAATGGATCAGCATCCAACTTCTTAAAAGCAATTCTGGGCCCCTGGCAATGGGCAAAGAGACGCCTTGTTGGTCGTGTTGTTCTTATACCAGGGGCAGAGCAGATGGCGGTCCTCTGTTCATCCTAGCTTGATGCCTGGCTTGGTAGCCAGAACTGTTTTATTGCTAGGACTAACAAAAATCAAATCAAATCTAGGCAGCGTGGGAGGAGACAGACAGAGACCTGCCCTCAAATGCATGGCACAGCCAGGCCATAGACACCTGCTTGCGACCACGCAGCACAGCAAGGATGGAGGATGTCACCCAGGAGCCCACCAGCCGCATGGCCAGCCTGCAGTAGGGGCCATCACAATGTGGAAATATGTGGTGGTCAGATAGGAGAGAAAGAGAGGTGGAACAGCGTGAGCATTGTGAAGAAAGATGGAACTGGAGAGAGGGGGAAATAAGCAGCTTGTTGGGAGTGGCCAGTCCCGCTGCCTGGGGCCACGGTGAGGTCCCAGCCCAAGGGTCACCTCTGAGTCTGTGAGTATGCAGCGGCAGGGATCAGTGCCGATGTCTGCTCATATTTCCACTGGAGAACATGGGCTGTCCAGGGGCTGTGCATAACTGGGCCCACCCCTCACTGGATGGCGTAATCTCGGGGGAGCAGGCTTTGTACCGAGACCAGGCAGCACAGTGGAGCTGGCCCTGGTGGCAGGGGTGTGGGAGAGCGGATTCTGTCCTTCATCTGCTGTGTGGCGGCATGGACACAGAGGTCATGCCCCCTCCCCCTACTCTCAACACTCACACCTCCAGTAGTCGGGAAAGCTGCCCACGGGTCGTGAGCTCAGTTTAGCTAGCCCTGCTCCTCACCAGCTGCCCCACTCCAGAGAGTAGGCCCTGCGCCTCGCCTGGGCAGCATGGTAGAACTGGTCCTTATGGCGGGGGATGTAGGTCAACTGGCCCTGAGAGAAGAGCATGGGAGAGCTGGCCCCACCACTCCTCTGCCAGGAGATGACGTGGATAACGAGCGATGCACGCCCCCCCCCCCTTCCTCCCTTGCCACCTGAGGTAGCTGGGAGAGCTGGCTCTAGGGTCAAGGGAGCCGGAGACCTAGCCCTGCCCCCTCACGGTAGCACTTGAGAGAGCGGGGGCCTTGAACCTCACCTGGGTGACACAATGGAGCTAGCTCCGATGGTCAAAGCACAGGTGAGACGGACCCCAGGGTGTGAGAACCGGAGAGCTGGCCTAGCCCCTCACACGCTGCAGCACTTGGGAGAGTGGGCCCTGCCTCCTGCTGATGGCCACACTGGGTGGCCTGGCTGAGACAGTGCTGGAGAACTCTCCTGGTGAGCGTGGATAAGGGAGAGCCTGCAGGCTAACCAGCTCAGCTACTCAGGCCCAGATCCAGAGCTCTGAGTTGGTCCACCCCAAAAACCTGTATTATCTGCAAATGGTTGAGATGAGCGAAACGGATAGTCCTGTTCTTCCAAAACTGATAAATGGAAGGAGTCCTGATGAAAATCCAATATTGATGGCATCACAGAAGCTGGAGATATTGAATCAGACCAATGAGTCATTGCAATGAACATTTTGCAAGTGAAGAAGTGTGGACAGAGAAATGTACTGTGGAACACGCTGTGACAGGCTACAGCTTCCACAATGAGATGTTTTCTATGCTTTGGTGTTTTGTTATTGCTGTTGTTGTTACTGTGTGTGTGTGTGTGTGTGTGTGTGTGTGTGTGTGTGTGTGTGTTGGAAGGGAGGCTACAAGGGCAAAGGGCAGATATGAGGGGATGGAGAGATGAGGGTACTGGGGTGCGTGATGTGAAACTCACAAAGAATCAATAAAACGTTTGTTTTTGTTTTTTTTAAGTAATTCTGGATACAAGCATTCAATAAATAATAAATAATGATGTCTTACATATTGTGGAAAAACAAATTCAAACCTCAAATTTTATAACTAACTACTATGTAAATGAAACATAAGTCCATATATACAGCCATGTGGCCACATACTTTATAAGTCTTCCTCTTTTTGAGTCACTCGGAAAGGTGTACTATTTCCTTTTCTTCCCCACAGCTCTATTCTAGGTGTGATTTCTCTGGTACTTTGGGCTTCCTAAATCTTTCTCTGAAGTGCCCCTCCCTGCCTTGGAGTTGCCTGTTGCCCTGTGGCTAAGTGACTTCTTAGTCTGCTTACCTCCAAAGTCATGGCTTTTTCCCCCTTCTTTTCTACATTTTCCTCCTCTGGGCAGCTTCTGAGATTTACAGCTTGTCAGTCCTGGGGTTTTTCTTTCAAACTCTAATAAAATTGTCCTTTTCTATTTGAATCCATGCTTTCTTTTTTATTTTTTAATTTATTTTTTATTTATTGCAACTTATTCACTTTGTATCCCAGCTGTAGCCGCCTCCTTCATCCCCTCCCAATCCCACACTCCATCCTTCTTCTCCTTCCATGCCCCTCCCCAAGTCCACTGATAGGGGAGGTCCTCCTCCCCTTCCATCTGACCCTCACCTATCAGGTCTCATCAGGACTGCTTGCATTGTCTTCCTCTGTGGCCTCGCTGCACCCCCTCCTCGCGGGGGGGGGGGGGAGTATATCAAAGGGCCCGCCACTGAGTTCATGTCAGAGACAGTCCCTGTTCCCCTCACCAGGGAACCCACTTGGATACTGAGCTGCCATGGGCTACATCTGAGCAGGGTTTCTAGGTTATCTCCATGAATGATCCTTGGTTGGAGTATCAATCTCAGAAAAGACCCCTCAGCTCAGATTTTTTTTGGTTCTGTTGCTCTCCTTGTCAAGCTCCTGTACCCTCCAGATCTTTCTATCTCCCCCTTCTTTCATAAGATTCCCTGCACTCTGCCCAAAGTTTGGCTATGGGTCTCAGTAGCTGCTTTAATACCCTGCTGGGTAGAATCTTTCAGAAACCCTCTGTGGTAGCCTCCTGTCCTGTTCCCTGTTTTCTACCTCTTCCAATGTCTATCCCATTTGCCTTTCTGAATGAGGATTGAGCATCTTACCCAGGGTCCTCCACCTTGCTTAGCTTCTTTACATATACAGATTTTAGTATGATTATCCTATATTATAAGTCTAATATCCACTTATAAGTATTACCATGTATATCTTTCTACTTCCGGGATACCACACTCAAGATGATCTTTTCTAGTTCCCACCATTTGCCTGCAAATTTCCCGATTTCCTTGTTTTTAATTGCTGAGTAGTATTCCATTGTGTAAATGTTCCACAATTTCTGTGTCCATTCCTCCATGGAGGGACATCTGGGTTGTTTCCAGGTTCTGGCTAGTACGAATAAAGCTGCTCTGAACATGGTTGAACAAATGTCCTTGTTGTATACTTGAGCATATTTTGGATATATGCCTAGGAGTTAGGTATAGCTGGATCTTGAGGTAGCACTCACTATTCCTAATTAATTGTCTGAGAAAGCTCCAGATTGATTTCCAAAGTGGTTGTACAAGTTTACATTCCCACCAGCAATGGAGGAGGGTTCCCCTTTCTCCACATCCTCCTCAGCATGTGTTGTCACTTGAGTTTTTATCTTAGCCATTCTAATGGGTGTAAGGGTCGTTTTGATTTGTATCTCCCTGATGACTAAGGACATTGAGCATTTCTTTAAGTGTTTCTCTGCCATTCTGTATTCCTCTACAGAGAATTCTCTGTTTAGCTCTGTACCCCATTTTTTAATTGGATTACTTGATTTTTTTTTTTTTTTTGCTGTTT